CCTGGGCAGGGACACTTTCCACTGGACCAGGTTGCTCACGGCCCTGTCCAGCCTGGCCTTGAACATTTCCAGGGATGGGGCATCTACTGCTTCTCAGAGCAACCTTTCACAATGCCTCACTACCTTACAGGGAAGAGTTGCTTCCTAATATCCAATCCAAACCTGCCCTGTCAGTGTGAAGCCGTTCCCCTTTGTCCTATCACTGTGTGCCCCTCTGCAGCTCTCTTGTAGCCCCTAGAAGGTGGTGTAAGGACTCCCTGGAGCCTTCCCTTCTCCAGACTGAAGGTGTAGGTGGTATAGTACACACTATATGCAGTTTATACTTGTAGTGTAGAATATGATGACTCCATTAGATTTTTTTGCATGGTAAATTAATATCTTCACCAAAGACTTCCTAGACTTTAATTGCGCAACTGTTGTAGCAGCCCAGAAGTTCTGGCTGATTCTTCTGCTGATCACCCACTTCAGCCATCACGTTGTCTGTAACTATTAAACCCTGAGGAAAATCTTTAGCATCGGACAGATTCTTTTCCTGTTTCATGTTGGTCTGGGATCAGAAACAGCTGATTTTGGAGATGCTGCAGCAGCGTTGAGAAGAATTAGTAACAAAAGGGAGTGAAGCCTTGGCTGACCTGCTGCTGCTTGGTGTGTGGAAATCAGTGTTTGAGTGTCACTGACCCGCACAGCCTTTTATAGATACATACGTACGGTGGTGCAGTAAAAACCAGGAAACTTTCACAGACAGATGGTGTGTTGCAAGTTCTCAGAAAGAAGTTTAAAGAGCTGGTGATACTATTAAAAGATGTTAAAGCATTTATTGTGCTGTGCAGAGCACACACTCTAATTGGGATTTTGGGGTTAAGAGCCACATTTTAATAACACCAAGCACAGCAGAAAGCAGTACTCAAAGAGGTTGTCATTAATGTGGCTGAGTAGCCTCTTTAAGTTTACATTATTCTTCTGATTTCCAGCATAAGGAAAGCACAACAGGAGAAAGTTTTGGAAGTCTGGTTGAAATCTATTTTTAGCCATCTGTCTCCAGGATCCTGGTTTCTAACAGAATACCATTATTATGCATTTGGTCACAAAAATTGTAGGAATTTCACAAACTTTGATTTATTCTGATTTTTTTTATGTTTCTGGATATTTTTTTTCTATTTTCTCTTTTTGTTTCCAATTGATTTAAGGTGTATTTTTTTGATGGCTTTCTGAAGAGAGCAGAGCCAAATAGGGATGTTTTTTTACCAAATGAGCAGACAGTCCTCTGACCAACTCTAGCCTCATTTTGACAGGAATAATTTGATTTTTAATAGATTCTAAAGCTCTTTGTGCTGCCAATACCATCCTTGTCACCTCCTCTGTATTTGCCTGCTCACAAGTTCTATCTCCCTCCAGGATGTTAAGCACAGGAGTGTCCCATCCAAAACATTGGTTTTCCTGACATGGTTCCAGGGCAAGTCTTCAGGCACCTCCAGTTCTCGAGTGGAAGCTCCTGCTAGACTTTAGTGGAAGGGAAGAAGCAAGCTGACCCCTAGGCCTTTTGACTAAAAGAGGCAAAAGAATGCTCCTTTGTCAGAAAACACCAAAGCAGACTTATATTTCTGCACTGTGAAGGGAACTTTGATGAGTTACTTGGGTATTGCCAATAGCCTGCTATTTGTTGCGCATCCCCAAATGTGACAGAACTTTGGTAGTTCAGGTATTTCAAAAATTGCTATAACCAATATGTAACAGTTAAAATTCTTCTGTGTGTCTCACAGAGAGCTCCATATGTTCATAATAAGGTCTCAGTCCAGCAAAACTTATGCCAAAAATCAATCTGTCCACTCCTGAGCCAGTATATCAAATGCAGCTCCTAACAGCAGCAGACTTTGTCTCATTCCTCAAAATGGAATTATCAAAATCAAAATAATCCGATTTACATAAAAGAGGCTAAATTTGGTCTTGCTGCTTGTTTTTTTTTCCATGTGCTTCCCTATCATCTCCACAGGCAAACTTGCTGACGTTTTAAAAAGGGCTCTGATTCATAGAGCTTAGGTAGTCTTCAAGATTTTGATAAAGGATGTTTTGCCCATCTCCTTAGTAGTGTTGCAGCTAAGTATGATAATAAGGGAGCAGAGCCATTTTTGAGGAATGTGAAGAGCTGGCAGTGTGCTTTGCTATCTAAGACTGAGAACTTAACAGCTAAGGACCTAAATTGTCAGTTAAGGGCTAAGTTGTCATATGTCACCCTTAAAGGGCAAATACTTCCATGAGAGGGGTCAAAAGGGTGTGAGTCATGTTAGTATCAAAATTATCCTCTTTCACTGAACTTAAAAATATAAAATATATCTATGTAAACATCTCTTTTGAGTCTATGGAGCACATAGCAGGTTACACTGTGATGTAACTCAGGTTTATGCCTTTTATTAATGAGTGCTGGATGGAGGATGGATAATGTATTGCTGTAAGGGACTGTGTGCATCAAACTTTGTTAGACAAGTCTTAAAGAGAGTAGAGAAATTCAGTATCTTAAGTCATTCAAACCCAGAAACCCAAAGAGCTGTCTAATTTCTTACCTTCAAAATCTGGGGAAAAATCCGTTGATTTGGAAAACCAAATTCATACTCATATTGTTTGATTGGCCACTTACTCTGCACTTCTAAAAACCTTACTGAGCCAGACCCAGATAGCTTTTCTTTTGATGAATTTGCTTTGAAAAAGCATTCCAGTTCAAATCTGTTTCTCTTTTATTTGTGATGTGTGGCTAATGCACATCTTAGACTAACTAGAGTGTGATTCATCATTGAGACATCCTAGGGTTGGCTGTAAATACGAAAGAAAAAGCTTATCTGCTTTCTTCTTTTGTTGATATGATTGCAGTTCATCATCAAGAGTGTAACTCTGAGCAAGAGATTCAGCCAGGGAGAGGAAGAGAGGAATGACAATAATGTGAAAGGGAATGAAACCAGATAGACAGTCCTGTTGAGTTTGAGTTCAGAAAGAATGATGCTGTTCCCAGACAGGCCCTTGAGCAAAAGCATTTATCTGTCTGATTTTGGGTTTGAAATGGTAGAGAGTAAAAAGTAGATGAATTCTCATCTCCTAGAGACATTAAACAAAGCTTTGTAACATCCAGCCTGTAAATAAAAGAGAAAGTAACCCATCTAGTAATATCCCATCACTGACAGCATCTTCAGGGCATTTCTCTAGCTCTTCTCCTATTGTCTTTCTCCTTCAAATCCTCATCTCTGGAACCCAAATACTATTTTTCTATCTCCCTTCTGTTTTTCTCTTCTGTGAAAGCCTGTGATTAACTTGTTTATCCATGAAACAGTCTTGTCTTAGAGCACAATCATATTCCTTTTTAACAGAGCCCTTAAATGGCATTACTGTGTTTTCCTGCAACACTTGCCATCATACCCAGTATTTAAGGAGACTCAGCATTTTATGATAGACAGCCTTCTACTTTCTTTACAGTTAATGCATCATCCTTCAAAATGCTTTCCTGAACCTGGTGAATTGCTTGGTGGATATACACATAGCTCCATTGCCTACAAGCAGATAGGATACCAAACAGGTCTTGTTGATGCAGGATTTCCTGCAAGATCCATGAAAAATGGCCTTTTTTATCATACTAAGGTTGTCACCCTGTTATATTAAATATAATTTGTATCAGTTGGTGGAAATCTAGATACTTACTCAAAAGCTTAGTAAATATTAAGAAGTGCCATAAACACTAAACATATGCAGACAGTGGGGGGGAAAAGATTCATAGGAGAGTTAAGTTTAAACTGCAGTATGTTTTTGTGTCAGTTTTGAAATAGTTTGATCTGTACACAGAATCTGTCATCCCTTGGTTGATTCTATTTGCTACCCATTTTTTAGTATTTGTACCAGCCTGAAGAATTTTGCCTTTTAGGAAACCCGAGTTTTCAGATTACATGGTCCTTTCTTGAAGGATTGAATCCAGTCACACAGGGCATCTTGTCATCTGTGTTTGCCTTATAAACTTTGTCATAAGGCCAAGGACCAAATACTTTCCTTGGTTTGAAAAACACTTGAGTGCATTTCTTGGAAATGCTGCAGCTTAATAGAAATTAGTAGAGTCACAACCTGAAATTTTTACTCACACACTTATGTTGCCAGTGAAGCTGAGGTTTAGGCTATTAATGGCTGATGAAAATAATTGAATGTATTTTTCTTTTGCAGAAATGTTATGTAGGCATTTCTGTATCAAGCACTGGCACAGGCTGCTCAGGGAAGTGACTGAGTCACCATCCCTGGAGGTATTTAATGGACATGCAGATATGGCACTTGGGGACATGGTTTGGTTGTGGGATTGGCAGTGCAGGGGGAACAATTGGACTCAATGGTTTTAAAGGTCTTTTCCATCCTACATGATTCTGTATTGGATCTAAACTGAAAAAAATGCTGAAAACTGAATCTAAATGGTATATATCTAATAATTTAAATAATAAATGACCTTTTGAACATGAAGAAAAAAGAGGAAGACATCACTAAAATTACATTATTCATTTCATAGTGTTTAAGACAGTTCATTCCAGAAGTCTTCTTAATTCTTTAGGAAAAACTAAGTTTTCATTTTCAGTTTTATCTAAAATCCATTAAAATCCTAGAGAATCTCTCTGCTGAGGTCAGTAGCTTTTGGACAGATTGTGTTACTCTGATAAGCAATACAGTTTGCATGTGCTTAGCCTCTGAGGCAAAATAAACTGAAAATAGGAGTGTGCAGCCATTAACTGGACAGTTCTTGGTCTGTACAGTACCAATAGAGAGCTCAGCGGCTTTGAAGGATTTACAGAGTGGTTTTATTTTGGGTTAATAACTTTAAATATTTCAATGAGTGATTAACTGGATCAGTAGTGAGTGCCATCATGTTTAAAGTGTTAAAAATAACACAAGTTTTCAAAATTGAAGTATTTGCAAAAATAATCACCTCTTTTAGTCAAAGTATTTGCAAGTGATTTTTAATTAATTCATAATATATTTCTCTGCAGGATCCAAAGCTGCGGGAACTGTTGGACGCTGGGAATGCCGGAGGTCGGCTGGAAAATCGGATGATAACTGTTGTCTATGGTCCAGACCTGGTCAATATATCATACTTGAACTTGGTGGCCTTCCAAGAGGATATAGCAAAGGTAATATATATTCATCTGTCATACAAAATTAATGTTTTCCAAGTAATATTTTGAGATGTGGATAAATGAGATGAAAGTGGAAATTGCCAGGAAATGAACTGCAGTTCTGTTCTAGAGCTGTGCTGCTCAGTTTCCAAGAAGAAATGTGCATTTTTTTTTCTCAAGGAGTTTATTGAGCAAGGTTTATGCTCCTGCTATGTGTGTGCTCATTTTCAAAACATTACTTGTTAAGTCCAAGTAAGCATTGTGAAAATAATGCTACACGCAAATTTTTATTCATGTATAAGATGTTATACTGTGAATCTCCAAACACACATCTATGTCTTTCAGTACTTATCACCTTTTTATGCTTGTTCTAAATGTGTGCAAATTATGGATCATCTGTAAGCACAGAGTTTGTAAATGGTTGACTTTGTAAGGTTGGCCTGTATCAGAATGGTGGGAATCCACAGCTCTCCCCTGTATAGTCAGGTATGTCAGCAATCAGACACCTTGTTCATCTTTGAACACTGACAGAAACAGTCATGTGTGTAAGGTCAGCTTTAAATATCACATTTTGCCTACTGATAGCCCTTGATAAGAATTGTGTAGTCAACATCATTACTTTAGCAAAGTATTTTTTCCATGCAGGTGTACAGTTCCTTCATTTGTGTCCAACACACCACATAAAGCACAGCTATGTGTGCCAAGAAGGTTACAATTGATGTTAGTACATGGTTTGGGTTTGGGGTTTTTTTCTCGTTCTTTCTTTATCTACAAGACTATTCTGTTTAATGAAGTGGGAGCTCTTTGCTTTATCTATTTCAAACTGGCATTCAAAGGTTTCTCCTCCTTCCATTTCCATTCATATGGGTACAGTCTGATGACAGCCTCCAGATAACCACATACAGAACATGCTTTCATACAGTCTGTATCCTCAAGTTCACTAGATTGTGCTAAAAGGACAGATATAGCCGCAGGAAGAAGTTATTTTGTCACCTCACAGGCAACAAAGACTATCAGACTAGGTGCAAAAAGGTCATAGGATAAAAGCCTTAAGCTATGAGGGTATATTTTTGCTTGCCAAGTTTCTATCTCTGCCAATCTTCATTAGCCAATTGGTCGACTTGGCAAAACCACAATTTCCACTCTTTGATATGAAAAGAGAGAAACAAGAAGAGTTTGTGGTGGTCCATGAACTGCTGAGAGGGAAGTGATGATACAACACTGGGAGGAGTGGCTGATCCCTCCTGCCATTCAGAAGGACCTCAACAGGTTGGAGAGATGGGCAGAGCAGAACCACCTGAAATTCAACAAGGGCAAGTGCAGGGTCCTGCACCTGAGGAGGAATAACCCCAAGCACCTGTACAGGTTGGGCACTGACCTGCTGGAGAGCAGCTCTGCAGAGAAGGACCTGGGGATCCTGGTGGACAACAAGTTGTCCATGAGTTGACAGTATGCCCTTGTGGCTAAGAAGGCCAGTGGAATCCTGGGATGCATTTAAGGGTATTGCCAGCAGACTGAGGGAGGTGATCCTACTCAGCCCTCGTGAGGCCTCACCTGGAGTATTGTGTCCAGTTCTGATCTCATCAGTGCAAGAGGGACATGAAGCTCCTGGAGCAGGTCCAGTGGAGGGCAGTGAAGGTGACTGAGAGACTGAAGCACCTTACTTATTAGGAGAGGCTGAGGGAGTTGGGCCTGTTCAGCCTTGAGAAGAGATGACTGACAGGGACCACATTTATATGTTCAAATACATGATGAATGGGAAGTGTCAAGATGATGGCGCCAGACTCTTAAAACCAATAAAACGAGAGGTAACAGGCAAAAACGGATGCACAGGAAGTTGCACAGGAAGTTCCACCTGAATATGAGGAAGAACTTCTTTACGGTGCAAGTCACTGAGCACTGGAACAGGTTGCCCAGAGAGGCTGTGGATTCTTCTTCACTGAAGGTATTCAGGAACCATCTGGGTGCAATCCTGAGCTGTGTGCTCTAGAGTGGCTCTGCTTGAGTAGGGAGGTTGGACCAGATGACCTATTGTGGCCCCTTCCAACCTGATTCTGTGATGTGCTGTCCTCAGACTTGAAAATGTACATCTATACTCTACAGGAGTAGGTGAGAAATCCTAACACTGCAGAAATGAAAGTAATTGAAACAAGTCTTCAGGAAAAAAGTTACTAATTTTATGATGGCAAACAAGAAGTTGTGCTACAGCTTTACCAGCAGAAATTGTTAGGAGCAGGGAAAAGTACCCAAATCAGAAGTGTGTGGACTCCTTCTTCACTTCCCTGTCTGTGCAGCAGTCATAACAGACCCATAATCTATTTTCCAAAATGGAACAGAAATTGGTATTTTAGGGCTATTTCCAGTTTGAGAATGGAACCTTAAAACACAGTGGATAAAATCATACTTTGTAAAAACTTAGTTGGTCTAAATCTTGAGTAATTCTTACCATCTGAGTAACTAAGAGTCTAAGTCTGCCTTTTTATTTGTAAAAGCAATAAAGCAAATACATTAATATTTGATCAGTCAGGCACTGTGGCCTGGGGATGCAGTTTTCAAAGCATTACAGATCAGCTGTGCTTGCTTTGAGGTCTTGTTAAAATATCCTCATTGTTTAAGTGAAAACAGTTTTGATTACTGCAGAATGCATCTAAAAATTCCTCCTTTTTTAACCTGTTTTCCAAGTTTGTATGAGCGAGACCACAGAATCTGCTCCTTATTGTCTCCAAGAGCCTTGTAGTAACTCAGAGAAGTTCTAGTAAATCATTTCTTCAGGCACAAATCATCTCTTCAGGGAACTCTGGGAGGGAATGCAAGTACAAGACATTTTTCAATGCCACCTGTGCAAATTTTGAGCCTTCCTCCTTCTGATGTTCCAGGGAAAGCAAAGCCAATGAAAATCTCCCCCACCTTTCTTTTTCTATTCATTTTTTTTTTTTTTTGGTCAACCCTTCATTTGTGATACCTTATTTTTCAAGTTGTGTGGCAAGTGTTCACCAGTCCTCCCTTAAGGAGAAATGCAAAGTAAAATGTATGGTCTTAGTGAGGCAGCAAAAATTATTCCATTTGGGGGTTTTCTTCCTTTGCACAAGACTTCCTTGTCTGCTACAACTCTGTCTCATCCACTGGTCAAGTTATGGGAAAATTAGAAAAATATGAGTCTTGGGCTATTCAGTTTGTTTCAGGTGCACTAAATAGCTAGAAATGACAATGCATTGTTTTATGTTCACTCCTCCCAGAGAAAGTAACTCATGCACATTAGTGATGAGCTGATGGGCACTGAGCAGATGGTTTGTTCAAGGACTGCAGCTTGAGATTCATTAGGTAATGGTCTAAAGGGCAGATAGAAATGTCGTGAAGATGAAGAGAAGTAGCACTGATACAGCACTCGCTTCTTTTCATACTCATGTGCCTGTGCCTGTCCTGAGATAGGATTTATTTGTGAGCATCCACACAGTGCTGCAGAAGTTAGGATAAAAAAGAGGTTTATTCTCAAATCCTATTCTGAGCAGATGCTCTTTGTCTCCATTCCGAACATGAAGAAGTCCAACCTATCAACCTCTGTCTGCTCTACAGTAGTTCATCCTCTTCCCAAATCCAGCAGCTTCAAAAGCGAACATCTCATTTTTCCCATCTCTTTCCCCTCACTCTCTTATGTGCCTCTCTTGCCAACTCTGTTCTTGCTGCACTGCCAATCCTGGCCTATACAGGCCCCTATCCAGAGCCCAAGGAAATCTGTTTCTCCTCAGTCTGATGAGCTTTGGATAAAATCCATCACTAAGAGCTGATGAATTCCTCCATAAGTAAAATGATGTCATCAAAGATGATTCACAAGTCGCACTGTACTATGCTTTCCAGCTCTTTATTTTTGTAGCTTCCCCAGTGTATGCAAGAGCTAGATCAGTATAATAAAATGCTAAAGCAAACCATACAAAAATTCACATCCATTGGATTTATTTTGTAAAATAAAATTCATAAGGAACTGGAAGTGTCAAATTTCAGCAGCTTTGTTAACCTCCCACCAAAAAGAAATGTGCAAGGAACATTGTGTTCACATGTAGGGTTGAAGAAAGTGTTTTCAGGACTCTGTGCTGTCTCTTCTTATGAAAAAGGTTTCATCTTTTGTGTTGCAATTAACGTCTTATGGTATGTATCCTGGTGCATGTAATAGAAGAGAGAAATTACTTCACTGAGCAACACATTTCCAGATGAACTGCTGCTTGTATGCTACCTGCCAAGCACAGAACAGCTAAATGATTTGTTAGTAAGTTCACAGGAATGATACAAAATGAATTGCAGAACAGCACGCAGCCAAGAGGAGTTCAAATTCTGGGAGCTCTTATCATAATGGCTCTGAGTTGCTTGGCATTGAATGTTGGTGGGTTGGGTGCTTCTACTACCAAACAGCATCAGAGACTTCCAGTCTAGAGTTTGTTGGCACTAGTGCAGTCCTATTTCAAAACCCCCAGATTTATATTTTCCTTTTGTATTGCATCTGTACAGGACTCTGCAGCTGCTGCTGATCCAGAGGCTGTTATAACCTTCCCGCAGTACGCTGTTTTCTTTCCACACATAACAGCTTTCCACCCCGTGGAGTGCTCTCCCCAAGTGCTGTCTTCTGGAATCACTGCTGCTGGTAAAGACAGCAGCAGAGTGCATCATGCACGGAGTTAAGAGTACGGACCTTTCTCTGTACCATGCAGGAAACCCAAGGAAACAGAGCCATTTGGTAGCTAAAGCAGCAAGACACATCATAGCTCACAGCTTGATGCAAACCCATCAAAGTCAGTCCCAAGCATCTCCTTTATTTCTTCGGGTCTGTGCTCAAGGCTGTTGTTTCCCCTCCTGCTGAGGGTTCAGACCAGTGACTGGAAAGATAATGGGCTCCTTGGCAGGATTTCTGAGCTTGGTTTTTTGTCTGCCGCTCTGTGGTGCCTGGAATGAAGACCCTAAAATGGGAGAGACAATGAAAAAGTATCAGTTGTGACTTGTTGACTTGACACCTGCACTACTGGAAACGGCTCAGCCTGCAGGTAGCTCTTAAAATGTTTGGCAAGAGTGATGTGATTGTTTTGAAGAGCCAGGAAAAGCAAGCAAAGGAACATGGCAAGACTGTTTTTATAAATAATGCATATGGCAGGCACATAATAATTTGAGTTCCCCTTATGTTCCTGTCAACAAGCATTTGGACAAAGAGAAGGAAGAGCTGGGCTGTGGAATACTCCTGAAGTGCCCTACTTCTCTTTTCTACAAAATATTTCAGTTTTAAATCCAGCAGAAGCAGGGAGATCAAAACAAAGTCTATCAAGATCTGTTAAAAACCACCATATTTTCAATTTCTAAATATTATTTTGTGTTGCCATTAATCTCTGCAGCAGTTAGTGTCACAGGGAGAAATTTGAGCTGCTATTATTAGTCCTAAACAAAGCAGTGTTTACAAGATGAGCCTATTTTGAGCCTGGAAAAACGAATTGCCAAGAAGAAAAACAGATGCTGCACTTAATATGGTTTCTGTTCCAAGAGTCACAGCAAAGCAGTTGTGTTGTTAACGAACCCAACTCCTCCTCCTCTGCTTTCTCACACCCCTGAATTTTTCAAATTAGACCTAAGAAGGAAAAACAATTCAAGAAGAAAAATGGAAGTGGTCACGAGAGGTGGAGGGGAGGACTATCTCGACAGCACTGGTTTGCCTCCAGAACAAGAAGTCTGTGTCTGAGGGAGGAAGGTTTCTCTGCCAGAAACACCAGTTACAGGAGATATGTTATCTCAGCTGCTTAGGGGTGAGGAGGTAAATGGGATGGACTTGAGGATCTAAGAGTTGAAGGCTATCAGAGGCCATTATAATAGTAGGCATATAGGTAGCCTTATCTATTCCACATTGGGGGTGACTGCGGAGACCAGTTTCAGGAACAAAAAACCCCTTAGCACATAAAAAAAAGGGAAAAAATATAACTTCTGAACCTCTCTCAAATCAATCACCTAGTCACGTGGAAACCTGAGGCTTTGTAGGTAAAACAAACTCATAAGCTCCAAAGTTACATAGGAACATTTGTTTCATTGGAAGTCAATGATATTAATCATTTTCCATTTTTGTCCCAATGAAATCCCCCTTTTTTAAAAATGTTTTCCTTAAGAGCAAGAAAAGCCAAGGAGAAGGGAATACCTCCCAAAGAGTATGCATCTCAGAGGCTGTGTTGCAAAGGGAATTTTGGATTTGGACTGTGAAAGGAAATGGAATTTTGGTTTCATAGAAAACTCAGTAAACTTCATCAAGTGAAACAAAAAAATCACATTATGTACAAAAGCATTGCTTGTTTTCATCCCTTTCTTTTAAAAACGATGAAATGAAGCCAATCCAAAACCACAGTTGTGATTAAAAAGGTTTGCAATTAAAGATTGTAAATAAGAACCAAGTTAGCAAGGAAGAATGTGCTAAAGTTGTTAATGAAAAGCTGCAGGGGAGAACTGCAAGGGAGGAGAGCAGCAGGACAAACAGTGAGAATCTAAACTTATGGATCAGCCTTGCTGGGAACCCAGGAAAGGTCAGGGACCTAAGGAAGGGATTTCAGCAATGTGCATAGAAATAGGAAAAATAAGTTGGGAAAATAAAGGGAGGAAAAGTGAGGGACAGCTGTGGGAAGGGAGTGCCTTCAGGCAGAGATGGGAAGTTTCTGATGAGCAGCTGGAGGACCAATGATGTGAGGGCTGGAACACTTCTTCCGTGAAGACAGGCTGAGAGAGTTGGGGTGGTTCAGCCCGGTGAAGAGAAGGCTCCAGGGAGTCCTTCTAGCACCTTCCAGTACCTTACAGGGGACTACAAGAAAGCTGGAGTGGGATTTTGGACAAGGGTGTGTAGTGATAGGACAAGAGGGAGTGGACTTAAACTGACAGAGGGCAGGTCTAGATTAGATACAGAAAGAAATTCTTCAAGGTGGGAGTGGTGAAGCACTGGCACAGGTTGCCCAGAGAAGCTCTGGATGCTCCATCCCTGGAAGGGTTCAAGGCCAGGCTGGATGGGGCTTGAAGCAACCTGGTCTGGTGGAAGATGTCCTTGTCTGTGGCAGAGGGGTTGGAACGAGATGCTCTTGGACATCCTTTCCAACCCAAACCATTCTGTGATTCTATGACATTTCTTGCCTACATCAAGGTAGCAAGAGGTAATAATACAGTGAAGGATAGGACCACAGTGTAAGGATGTATGGTGCAGGGAAAAGAGCTATTTGGAGTTTCATCTGGCTTGTCCAGATTAATATAAATGTATTCATATATATTTCTGCTGCTTGGGGTTTTTTAAGCTTATTTCTTATGCTGTCTGGTAAGATCTTGGATAGAGTCAGTACTTTTTTTTTCAACCATATTGAATTTTTTTTCAGCATAAGAAAAGCAGGTCTCACAGAAAAGGAGGGAAGCTGTAATTGGAAAAATCAAGTTCAGGCTTTAATTAGGCACTTTGTACTGACAGTATAATTTTCAAAAACATTTTATGTAAGTAAACATCTCAACTAAAGCCTTGTTTAATCACGATTTCTCCTTACAGGAATGGTCAGATGAAGTGTTCAGTTTGGCAACAAATTTGTTGGCACAGAACATGTCCAGGGATGCATTTCTGGAAAAAGCGTAAGTAGCCATTGCATTTAATGCTGTGGGTGTTGCTCTTTGCTCTGCATCATTTTCCTCTTTGCTTGTAAGTCACATTGTCATCTATTGTTGCTGCTTTGATGACTTGTCACTTCTGTAAACACAGGCAGTCTGTTCTTATTGCTTTACAAAGCTTGTTATCTAAAAGTCATTTAAACAAAAATCTTGTTAGGGTTCTTCTTGCAACCTACTAAATCATTGCAGAAAATAACAGAATTAAATGCTATCTTCCCCTTGTATAGCCAAGTTGTAGCTCTAATCTGAAGCTCTCCATTAAAATGAAAGGATATTCTGGACTGAATTGCTTCTGGTTTATTTTCCTTTTCTGCTATTGATCAAAAAAATGAGAAATGCCAGAAGTCCATTTTCCTCGGTCTAATCTCCCTGGTTTTCATGTGATTCAGAGGGAAGCTCGTAATCCATTCATCTAGATTGCTTTGCAGAGTGGACAGATCTTGAGTTGCTTTCAACAGAGTAGAAAAGCTGTTTATGAGAATGTTTGGGGTGAAACACACCTCTGAAAGGAGAGAGAACTAAACCTGAGATTAGCAATTCTCAACTGGATGATAAGTGCATGTGCTGAGGGAGTTTTGTGTGACAGCTTTGAGAACAGTGTAAGGCCTGCCAGAAAGAGATGGTGATGATCTGAGGTACTTGCAGGCCTTTTGGGGTTCTCGGAGGAGATTCGCCCTCCTCAGCCTATGAGTTGGCTGGTTAAAGTCAGCTTACTGTCTCCCCCAAACACCTGTTACTTTCTGCTTACAGGCAGAGGCTCAGTCCAGCTAAATACTAAACTGGGGCTTAGGTTCCTAAAACTTGCCTCCATCTGAAAAGCAAGTTAGCCCATCCTTTTCCTGGACTTCGTAAGGCTGTGCATGGCTAATTTCATTAGATGCACCCATATTTAGTCAGAAGGTTCCCAACTGCTTAACTTTAATCCCATGTACTCATTCATAGGTGCCTATTCTGGGAAGGAGGGATGTGCCTGCATGTGTGTGTTTCCTTCTCATAGTGTTCGTTGTGGTATAGCTGAAGTCATCAGAAGTCCTTGAAGAAACTTTGAAGATTGGATGTTGCAGGAACTACAGCTTTATGCCTGATTAGTGTGTTGGGACATCAGTGATACATTAGGCAAACAATGGACAGGAACATCTAATGTTTCCTTTTGGCTCTGCATGCTCACAATGGAGGAGGCACTGTGCTAACCTGAGCTGGTGAATTCCTAAAGCTCCATGGGTTGTAGATGAATTTTGAGAGGGATTTGATATCATTATTACCTTGCCCATTGCCACTCAAATCCCCGGGTGGCCAGAGGGCTCCTGGCAGGTCTGGAGTGGAGAGGATCATGGCTATACCTGATGGACAATTTCCTATCTAATTTGGAGAAGGAACATGTTATCACACAGTATAGTAGAGCCAGTCTTGTTTGGAGCTATTTTTTGGCGGTTATTCAAGCAATATTAATTAAAGATTAAGTCACTGGACGCACTGCATAGATTCAGTAGCAAGCAAGCGTGGC